GCACCTGAATATAAGCCGCAGCAGCTAAATTGAATGATGTGTACATATATAAGCCGCACTGGACTATAAGCCGCAGGTGTTTTAATGTTTAATTACCATATGTAAGGGTTCGTGCACAGAGGGGATTGTCGGGAAAGAGATGGCTGTTTGAGGAAGCTCCCATTTATTAACATTTCAACAAACAAGTTGCATATTTGCACAACGTATTCAAGTGTTACCATTTAGTGCAATAGTAGCTACAGAACATGTACTGTGCTGTGTAAACTGTACTGTATCACATAGCGTTTCAGACACACAAACTTTTCAACTTTCAAACTTAAACGGTGCGCTCCCAGCGCACGTACCGGCAGTGATCTACAGCAGCGGTTTTCAACCAGTGGTACGGGGACAAACTGTCTCGCTCTCGTAATGTCTGTCTGTCTTGCTCTCGTTCTGTCTCTCGTACCACTCTCGGTTCCACTTTTACTTTTGCGCGCTACCTGTCTCACTCTTTTCCGGCCTCCAGCTTTTCCTGCTGGAACCCACCGCTTAAAGGTGGGGGTCCGCGGACCGGCCATAGAGCCCATAGAGTTAAAGGTGGTGGACTGTAACCTTTAAAATCCATAGATTTAGGAGGTCCCCTAGTGGCCGTTAGCTGTAAAAATCCATAGATTAGCCGCACCGTTATATAAGCAGCAGCGTCGAAAAATTGGGAAAAAGGCGCGGCTTATAGTCCGAAAATTATGGTAGATTATTTCCCCAAATCGTGCAGCCCTACTGCCTAATTCACATTTTTACTGAATAGAAACTTGACATTAACTTGTTACCGGAGTGTGAGTTCCTCTGACATAGCCAGTCCTGATACAGTTTTAACAACAGTATGCCATTTGGATCCAACCCTTTTTGCAATGCAACTGGACTCTACTAAATACAATGAAGTAATTCACTGATGTCCAACCGCTAAACATGGAGGATATAATTACTAGAATCACAGGAGATACTTCAAATTAGACGACAAGTTGCGCTTTGAATGGTTTCATATAACATTCACATTTGGATATTTCTATTTTGTGTGCTTTACTATCACAAGAAAAAAAAAAAGTATCAAGCTAGTCCTCTGTACATTTTCTATGACAACGCGCCCTTTACTTGATCCAATACATACACCTATTGTATTCAACATGCGTACTGACCTGTCCGTCAACAGGTTCGATCTGCTGCAGCGTGGCCAGCACGAACACGGCCGTCTTTCCCATACCGGACTTCGCTTGGCACAGGATGTCCATGCCCAGGATCGCTTGTGGGATGCACTCATGCTGGACTGAAAACAAAATATAAAAATATGTGTCAATGCAGGCACATTATTGTTGGGAAAGCAAATATATCAAGGTACTGTAAAGAAACTGTAGACACGTGGAAGATTCTTTAGTTAGGTTTCATTTTGTATTGAAGGAACAAGGGCATGTTATCAAAGAAAACCTTATAGATCAAATGATAATTAGTATTAAACTGATGCTAAACACCTTTGTGTTTACAGCCGGTTTGCCAGAGGTCATTTAACAACATTATATATTCTCACCATTTCCAGAATTCAATCTATTTTCATGTTGATTTCACAATTTTCTGTATTTCATGAATTGTTCCCCGGTTTTTCCACCATGCTTACATAAAGCACTTTGAATTTAATTTGTGCCTAACATGTACAAAACAAACTAACCCATACCCCTTTTGTTTTCTACATTCGACACAACCAGTAAAATGGTCTGCTCTTGTTATTGATGAAACGTATCTATTAGACACGGTCTATCAAATTGTAATGATTCTTTGTATTACTTCATGAATTTGACTTCACAGACTGTACGTGCTTTGCTTGTGTGTTATTTTGTTTGTTTGTTAAAACGTTGTTTTTGTCGGGACCCTCTTGAAAACAAGATAAAGAAATACATTTCTATAAATACAACCAAAGTCCGCTCACCTTCAGACGGATGCTCAAAACCGCAGTCGATGATGGCACGCAGCAGCTCTGGTTTGAGCAGAAAGTCCCTGAACCCGGAGCTGTGGATGGAGACGTAGGACCCCTTCACCTCCTTCTTCCCTGCGGGGACGGCGCTCTCTGGGGCTCCCTGAGGCTCCTCATCCTCTTCGTAGTCGAGCAGCTCGTTGTCAACATCAGTCTCTGCCATTGTGTCGGTCTAGGGAGGGAAAAGGAACAAGTGGGAGTTTAAAATTGTGAACATGTCTATCATCACATGACTGAACAGACAACTTGGACAAATAAGTAGACGTGTATGTAGTCTTTTTGCACTACTTTTTATTTTATTATATATGTTGCATTGTTGGAGGAGCTCAGGTCAGAAGAAATTCATTGCCATTTCTACACTGTAGCTTTGAGCATATGATGATAAAACCTTTGAATCTTGAGTTGCACCGCTTGGAAAAGTGTGCAACTCAAGATTCAACGGTTTGTGTGACGGTGACTATTGTTGAATGATAGTGAGGAGATAAAAGTGGACTTAACTGACTTCTCCTTAGCGTCCAAAACGTTGTAGATAGTTGCTTTCAAAGTATCTATTGATTGGTTTGATTATATGGCTGTTATTTTAATCTTGTTTATTTATAACTTTTTAATTTGTATTTTCTACCTATTTAATGGTTTATGAGCTGAGCTGTGTGATTTTAGTAAGTACATGTATTTCGTTGTACAACACCTGGAGATTTTAAAGTGCTTTACAAATGAAGCTGTATTGTATAATTTGGATTACCATCGATTATGGAGTGACTTTATAAAGAGGGACTCTACCAAACAAATGTTTAATTTAGTATGTAAAATATGTAGGCCGGGTTATCTCCGCAGCTCCACAATACTACATTCAAAACTTTATTTTAACACATATTAAGGCATAAAACATCGTGTGCCTTCTGTGATTTGGATATTACACAAATTCACACTGAAATGTGGATAACATTTCCATTAATTGTGCAATCCTACAACCAACTTTCCAACTGGTTTGAAAGAGAACTGTAAACTGAGACCAGCTGTTGCTATTATTTGTGCCAACTTTAACCACACATTTTAAAGAAGATTCAAACTATGTAATACTACAAAAGTGTGATAATTAGCTTTCATTGCAACATGAGTTTGTTGTGTGTACAGTGGTAGTATTATGGTTGAATAGGCGTAACTGAATCTCAACCATTGCACGACAAGAGACTAATCAGTGAGCTATGCTAACTAGGTTATTTGCAGGCGCTCATATTAAACCAGGCCTACAATTCAAGTACGCAGTATGTAGACTAACTGGCTCCCCTTTACACAAAATACCCGTTCACATTATTTTAATAAAGCCAAGCCTTGAATAGTAGCCGACGCCTTCGGTTTAACCAAACCGGTTAGCACTAGCTTCAGATCCGTTGACAACACTGGGACTCCATTGTGTTTCATAACTAATGCTAAGCTAACATGCTAGCGGCAAACAATATTTTTCTGACGAAGAAGCGAAACCATACTCACAACCACCGTAGACAAATAAGTAACACGTATTTAATTATATTTAACCCAGCATGTTGGGATAGAAAAAGCTACGCACTTACTAAAACAATGAAAAAATAAAAATGGGGAAATGTTGGTGGCTAAGCTAACTAATGCTAACGCAGAAACGTAACGACTATCATCATAAAACAAACAATGAAAGAAGATATTTCATTACAGAGTAGATTATCTGTAACTCCTTCGAACTTAACTAATCGAACTCTTCCCAAACTTTATTCAATGTTTTTCAAAAACTCTCCATTTGTGGATATAAGACTGAATTCTTACCTTGTCGTTGTTAGCTTCTCTACTACAGATCAAAACCGCATGGGCAGGCCTCAGACGGTTTATACGAGTACCCGGAAGTCCCGCCTTCTCTGAAGCGCATCAATACGATTGGTGGATTTAGACGAGCGCCGGTAAAAGAGGATAGCGATTGGTTGAAAAGTGTGCCGCAGTATAAAAAAAGCGGGATACAGCAGGAATGAGTGTATGGAAGCCCAGGAGAGACACTGACATTTAATTAGAATAACAAAATAAACTGCACAATAAAGTAAATGCATTCTTATGGTGCAAAAAAAAAAGGAAAGGACTTTATTATGATTTTCGTATGGGCGAACATTTCTTTAATCTCTAACTACATTAATTAAACCTTTATTAGTCCTCTTAGTTCGTCTGCCAAAAGCAATAATATTTAAATATATGATAGGACAGATAATAGTTCACACAAGGATAACAAATATATGAAAGTAACAGTATAAATAAAAACAACAACAATAGGAATAGGTACAAAATAACATTTATTCATTAACTTTTTTCTGTATTGCTTCTGTTATTTCAAAAAGTTCAATACAAATATTATTGCATAAACATGAAGTGACCTCAGTGTGGCAAACACCCAGTGGTAATATCAGTATTATTGTTAGAAATACTAATTATAAGGCTGATAAGTGCAAATAACAGCAGAAAAGTCAGTATTTGTAATGCATAGGTTCATAAAGAGTAATTATCATTTATTTTGGTGTTGGAGATAAGTACAACCAGCTATATATAGACACACCAGCATCCGGTTGGATTAGTTACTAGCATTTAACACTCTCAGTGACCTATTTTAATAAAGTGATACAGCAGGCACAGTAAGAAACAAGCTGATCAACTGGGATTTTCAAGAAATAATCATGTTTCTGTTCTCAAGTGGCCATAAGACTACGACTGCACCTTTTCATTGGTTCCTTTTTTTTTAGCATCTTATTAGTTGATATATATTTTGTATTAGCTAACAATCTGAATCTGTAGAGTTATCAAAGCTGTCAGATAAGAGTAATCGGTACAATATTAGCTTCCAAAATGTATTGAAGTACCAGTATAAATTAGCAAAAAATTACAGTAAATACTCAGTTAGCGTACCTCAACATTGATACTTGAGTAAATTGCATTTCACAACTGGTATTAGAGACTTAGATCTGTGATTCCAGAGCAGAAGAGAAACTCCACTGAGTAGGAGAGAAGTACGGGAAACTGTCGGACTCTGGGCGTGAATTACCCTCTGAATATGCACCAGAGGGGGGGCAAGATCTGCTCAGGAAGTCCCTAACTCTGGGGGGCAAAGAGAGAAACAGCCAGTCCTCCACCAGCAGACCCCCCCCATGCAACCCGGGGCAGGATCCCAGCTCAGCGGGCAGATCCTCCAGACTGTTACTGCGCAGATCCAACCTGCACAACCGACTCAGAGCTGCAACACCTCTGGGTAGTGCACTGAGAGAGTTGTGCGCCACATTAAGGATGTGCAGCTCCAAACAGCTACTGAACAGCTGAGAGGGGAGTTTCTCCAACCTGTTCCCACTGAGATCCAGCTCTGTGAGCAGCTGCAGCGCTTTCACCTCAGCAGGAAGCACCTCCAGCAGGTTACCAGCCAGGAACAGCTTTCTAAGGCGGTGCAGAGTGAAGAGGGCTGGAGGAAGACTCTGCAGCTGGTTGTTGGACAGATCCAGGAGCTCCAGACCTCGCAGAACGGCAACACTAGCGGGTAATGAGAGGACTCGGTTGTAGGCGAGTCTGAGACAGGAGAGGCGGCGCAGAGCAGCCAGACTGAGCAGCTCCTCCAGGGTCCGCAGGTTGTTGTGCTGCAGGTCCAGAGTGCGCAGGTTGGTGAGGGAGAGTAGAGCAGACGGTAATCTCTCCAGCCGGCAGTCCTGCAGCAGCAGCTCCGTCAGGTCCACCATCCGCTTCAGCCCTGTGAGGACCAGCAGCCTGGTGCCCTCGTTGAAGACCTCCAGCCTCACCAAGCTGCCCGCCACCTACCATACAACAATAATACAGTTTTATTTATATATATATATATAGCACTTTTCATACAACACATGCAGCTCAAAGTGCTTTACACAATGACACATCACAAGTTAAAAACAAGAAATTCAAGAACGTTAGAGGTACATGCAGCAAAATATAACATTTTAACAGGTTAGATACAAGGAAGATAATAAAATGAAATAATGGTTTCTCTCCGACAGAACAATACGAATATACTTTATTAGTCTGTTTGCCAGCTCATCCTATTGGGAGCACGGAAATGTTGAGGACCTCAAAGTGTTATGTTAGAAATGTACAGTATGGGCCCAAGCACAGAGAAACTGCCGGATGCTAACTTGCATATGTTGGGCAATTTGCACAAATGGGGCGAAGCCTGCGAGCTAGTTCAGGCAGTCAACTCGAGCACTTATGCTGCATTCATACATAATGCCCCTTGCCACTACCAACCAACAGAGTCTCCTTAATATGCCGCTCTATTTAACCTGCCAGATATCCCTTCATGCATTGCTTGCTGCTGCTGTTGCTTCAGCTACCTCTACGTCGCTGCTGCTTGCCTGCCCCACCACCACCCCAGCTTCCACCCCAGCTTCCACCTGTAGGCTCTGGGGGTTAGTTATTTAATCATCACTCATCGTGCTATGTATATCTATGGAGTGATGAGGCCTGAGCCTAGTCGCCAAACTTAACTATATGCTGTTTCTAATAAACATGTTAAAGCAACACGTGAGTTATCTGACTGAATTAGCATAATGCAGACAATAGTTAGAACATTTCTTTTTTTACAATTTTTGAGTGTTTTTCGGAGGTTATTGAATCAACTTCCAAGATCGAAAATGGCAGTTTTAACCAGAAAAGGACCATATTTGTGCTCCCGGTGGCTGATTTTGATGAATTTTGGGTCCATTTTAAAGTTCTAGGAGACTAATATCTGCCATTCTTGATCCAAAAATGGTCAGAAAACATAATCAAATGGTATAAAAACCGCAAATAGTAAATTTATATACATATCTACACCATAAAAAGACAAAGAATACACAATATGTATATATAATATCCTGCTTTGTGTTAATGTACGTTTGTATTTCCACATATTTTTTAATGTTATTTTATTTCCATTTGAGATGGTTAAAGTTTGTTTCTAGTCTGCCTTGTCTTTTAATGCTGCTGCAACGCAAACATTTCCCAGATTGGGATCAATAAAGTACTTCTTATCTTGATATAAAATGTTCTTGATAAGTTAGACTGTTCTATTAAAGACCAATATATCACAGCAACAGAAATATAGACATTTTGTTGTTTTCTTTGTATTCTGTTTCTGATTTTATGTAAACCGTCTTTGAGCACCAGGAAAAGTGCTATAAAAATTAAATGTATTATTATTATTATTATTATTATTATATTAAAGCGGCAGACCAACACCTCACACAGCTCCCCGGGGATCCTCTGCAGCATGCCTCTGATCACCAGCACTCGGAGGTGACGTAGTTGTCGCAGGCTTCCTAACGCCCAGCTGCGACCCACACCGTTATCATTGCTCAGGCGTCCGGAGAGGTGGAGCTCGTGCAGGCCTCGGAGGGAAGTTACCCAGCTGGGGATCTCTGAGGCCTGGGTGAAGGTGAGGTGAAGGACCTCCAGACGCTCCTGCAGGACCCCCAGAGCCCCAGGATCCACCGCCGCTGAGCAGTGGTAGAGGTGGAGCTCCCTGTTGGGGGAATACATAGTCAAAGGTCCCCTATTATACTGTTTTTCATCAATATATCACAGGTCTCAGATATATCCAGAACCTGTCTGGGACAGCTGGGACTCCCAGCAGCTTCTACTGAAGCCTTCTGAGTAAATCGCCAGAACGCCGACACCTCCTCATCTCCACCGCTCCCATGTTTACTTTTGAGTTGCCATAATTTATTCTCTCTCCGTTGGTGCGGGGCGGTTAATGCTAATGCTAATAATGCTAATGCCAGCAAATACAATGGCGGCTTCACAAAACTTTTCAGAGTTTTACGGGCGTGGTTTGCAATTTGCCCAGACAATTGAAATTAGTACTTTTTTCTCCCCAGGATAGTCCCACCTCTCTAGCGGGAACTAAAAATGGGGGAAAAAGTTCTCGGAACTAAGTTCTTAGTTTGGTGTGAACGCAAAATTCCAGGCACTAACGGAACTAAACGGGAAAAGTAGGGGGGTTACCTTGGTTGGTGATTGGCTAATGGTTACACAAGCCAAAACATCGTTATGACATCATAAATAGGCCAAAATCTGATCAGCTCATTTTCAGACAGGTTTTTATAGAAATGGATCAGGACAAAAAGAGAGAATCTTTGTTCCTGAAACTCAGGACACATGTTTATGTATAAAAGACATGAAAAAGTGGATTTTGCATATTAGGTGACCTTTAAGATAAAAACACAACAATCAATACAAAAGAACAGTCACTTCAATATCTTTGGGAATGTACATTAGTGCAAGATTCTGATTCCGATGTGATATTAAAGCATCCTGAACTCACCTGAGTGATTTCATGTTGGCTACCTGTGCAGTAAACCTGGCCTCGGTGATGAGCTCCAGCTTGAGGACGTGCAGCTGGTTGAGGGTGAAGAGAGCTGGAGGAAGACGAGGAAGAGCCACCAGCTGCAGTCTGGAGCTTCCCTCTGAATCCACGCTGCTCATGGATCTCAGCTTCTCTTCCCCCCAACGCCTCTCCAAGCTTTCCTCCAGCAGCCGGCTCTCAGTGACCGGAGACAGAAACACGGACAGACGCTGAACCAGCAGGGGGTCGTACTGGTCCAACATGTGCAGGAGGAAGGCCAGATCGTTCCTCAGGTCAGGAACATCTCTCAGAGAGCACAAGTCCTTCAGTGAGTGGAAGGAATACTGACGTAGAGAGCTGCAGAAAACACAGAGGGGGAAATATATCAGACATTTTAAAGGTCACCTATTAGGCAAAATCTCTTCTTCATGTCTCTTCTACATCAACATGTGTCCCCTCTTCTTCATGTCTCTTCTACATCAACATGTGTCCCCTCTTCTTCATGTCTCTTTTACATCAAAATGTCCCCCTCTTCTTCATGTCTCTTCTAAATCAACATGTGTCCCCTCTTCTTCATGTCTCTTCTACATCAACATGTGTC